ATCCGCGTATTAACGCGGATCCTATTCTAGTTCTATATAAAATTATAAATTGATTAAGTTAGTTTCCCAAAAAATGCCTGATCCTTGTAATATGTTTTGACCATTAGGAATCAGATTTAAAATGTAAATAATTAGTTGGATTTTTAACTTGCCGACAAATAAAAGAGAGATAATTTTGTGAAATTGCGAAACAATTATATTGTATATACATAAGCTTATTCAATATTATAAACTGGCTTATAATCATATTATAAAAGTATATTCTATAATAAATCATAATTATGAAAAGAAAAGAAAAAAATCAATAGGCTAAAATTTTCAAAATCTAGTGTTAATTTTTCATGATTTTATTCTATATAAAAATTGATCTAATCCTGTCCATTCATAACCTTACTTTCAAGTCTTAAACTCTCTCATATATGAGTCAATAATAAAATCAATTTACATTAGGAGAAAAACTTAAAACTTCGCCATTTTCATATTAAATTACCTTAATTCCCATTATCTTACCACTCATTAGTTGACTAAATCACCTCACATTTAAAGCCATTAAACCCTTGATCGGAAAAATATAATTTCTTTATCATCACCCAACCGTTTTTCAGAGTTTTACTGAATAAATAAAAATAAAAATCTCATCTTTTCAATCACTACATTGTAGAATTTTATTTTCTTTACAAATTAAGTTTTTTTTTGTTGTAAACACGATGGGAAAACACGGCGGTGTAAAGACCAGAACCGCCGTATGTTTTTCAGACAGTGTTATCTTCCTCGCCGGAGCTTTCATGTCTCTAATTCTCGTTTGGTCTTACTTTTCAATTTTTTCATCTTCTTCAAATTTCACCCTTCTCACCGGTTTACGACGAAACATCAACGAACCAACTCAATGCTCCGGTTTAAGCATGCAATTCGACCCACCCGAACCCGGATTTTACGACGATCCGGATCTAAGCTACACAATCGAGAAACCAATCACAAATTGGGACGAGAAAAGGAAACAATGGCTTGAATCTCACCCTTCTTTCAAACCCGGTTCAGATAACCGGATCGTGATGGTAACCGGTTCTCAATCCTCGCCGTGTAAAAACCCAATCGGAGACCATTTATTACTCCGGTGCTTCAAAAACAAAGTCGATTACTGTCGAATTCACGGTCACGACATCTTCTACAGTGATTCTCTTCTTCATCCGAAGATGAATTCGTATTGGGCTAAACTTCCGGTGGTTAAATCGGCGATGATTGCTCATCCGGAGGCGGAATGGATTTGGTGGGTTGATTCCGACGCGATTTTCACCGATATGGAGTTTACTCCGCCGCTTGAACGTTACCGGAATCATAATCTGGTGGTTCATGGTTGGCCCGGAGTTATATACAATGATCGGAGTTGGACGGCGTTAAACGCCGGAGTTTTTCTGATTAGAAATTGTCAATGGTCAATGGATTTGATTGACACGTGGAAGAACATGGGACCTGTGGGGCCTGATTACGCGAAATGGGGTGAGATCCAACGGTCGATATTTAAAGATAAGTTGTTTCCAGAGTCAGACGATCAAACGGCTCTGATTTATTTGCTTTATAAACATAAAGAGTTGTATTATCCTAAGATATACCTCGAAGCAGAGTATTATTTCCAAGGGTATTGGATTGGTGTCGTTGGGGGTTTTGCTAATGTAACGGATCGGTATCTTGAGATGGAACGAGAAGACGCCACGTTGCGTAGACGTCACGCGGAGAAAGTTAGTGAACGATACGGTGCGTTTAGAGAAGAGCGGTTTTTGAAACGCGAGTTTGGAGGGAGTCGTAGAAGAGCGTTTGTGACGCATTTTACGGGGTGTCAACCTTGTAGTGGGGACCACAATCCGATTTACGATGGTGACACGTGTTGGAATGAGATGATCAGAGCCCTTAATTTTGCTGATAATCAGGTGATGCGAGTGTACGGTTACGTTCATTCTGATTTGAGTAAGACTTCTCCGCTTGTACCTCTACCGTTCGATTATCCTGATGAGCCTTGGTGAATTAATTATTTTCTTGTTTGGTTATAAAAAGTTTTTAGTGTTTTTTCTTTAAAGTACTTTGATTGATATATTAATGGTTGAGAGAGATCTTTTCAAGTAATTACCTTATATTACTTTTGATTAGGAAAAAGTTATATGATAAATCAACTAGAATTATGAGGAAAAAAACCAAGATTTTTCACTTTGTATTTGTGTATATGGACATGGGAAAGTCGAAAATAAAAAAGGAATTGGTGGTTTTGGCTTTAATTTGCGAGTTCAATGCTATCCCCAAGTCTCTATTTGAATATTTGTTGCTTAAATTTTACCATTTGCTTGATCAATATATTAATTGATTGAGGATTTGGCTTATTTAGCACTTTGTGGCTTTATTATATTTTTTTTAGTAAAGGTTAAACTCTTTAATTCTTATGAAATATAGGTTTGACAAAAAAAAAGGAATCGGTGGTAGAGTTTTTGTCGATGTCCTAATGCATGACATCAACCAACAGTAAACTTGAAACACATTTTTTTGTTATATTATAAAACAAAATTAGATGGAACACAATCTAGGTTGCATGAAATTCTATGAAAACGCGTTTGCTAATAAATTTTAATTTAAAAATGCGTTTTTAAAATATTTTAATTTGGAAACTCGATGAAAATTTTAATTTTGTTTTGGAAACGCGATGGATACTCCTTTCCTAGAGATTTTAAATTAGAAATACGAGAGAAATGTTTGATTTTATTTTGGAAATGCGATGAAATTTTTTTTCGTACGTAATAATTAAATAGTTTGAAAATGTAAGAATATATTTATAGGTTAAAAACAACACAATTATGAAAGATTGCGTTTGTATATAGGTTAAAAACAATAAAATTATTATACTTTTGGCTTTCGTTAAGCTATTTAATATTCATGTATATAATTTGTGTTGTTCAAATTGTTTTAAATATTGTTTTTGATGTTGTTG